AAGAGCGCTTTAGTGTTCTGAGGGCTGATGTCCAGTACTTTCTGACCGTAGCAAAGGGCCTTCTGGGGTTTTTCCAGTTTGAGGTACGTGAGTGAGAGGTTGAGCAGGAAAGGCAATTTCATTTCCTCAAGACACTTCTTCTCTTCTTCATCCACCGGCTCACGATTCTGCAAAAGTGTCATGGCCTGTACCATGGACCAACAGTAGTGTGACACGACTGCTACAACACAGTCTATTATTAGGTATTAGAATAAACTACAATTTTTCTTTATCCATTTACTTTCACTCTCATTTCTTAGAAACTAACAAAACAGTTATAAGCACAGAACCTGTTTGTATCGCTCTCGAGCATCTTCATAGCGCTTCTTATTGAAGCAGAGGTTGCCAAAGCTCCGCTGTGTGTCCAGTACATTCAGAAATGTGGACAGAGGAACATTGTTCTGCTCTTCCTGAGGAACAATGTTGAGATTACAATCTCTGACACAACCACCAAAAAATCATTACCATAAAAATCTTACCATACTCAAATCCATTAATTCATCCACTTGTGCCGAGTCCAGGAAATCGAGGACTTGCACCTCATAGAGGACTGTGGCTAATGGAGGTATGTGTGGGGGGCATCCAAGGTCCCCGTAGGCATATTTGGGCTTGAAAAGAAAACGGGAAAACTCGCCTTTCTTCATAGTAAGAAGACCAAGCTCTAGGCCATACAAAGTAACATCTATGGGGAAAGAGGTTAGAGTGTCTTGACGGAGGAAAAAGAAGAGATTATACAGGAGAGACTTGATTATCATTCTAATGGAAGAATTCAGTTTCCATCCTACCTCTACCAAGCTTCATCATTCGTGGAAATTTAAGGTGGCTGGTTGTCTCAAATGGTGCGTCAGAGTACTCAATGAAACCAGAGAAATGAACTGTGGATGAAATGAGTTCATGTTGGCAGCTAATGAGAAGCTAAAGAGAATCTATAGCATAAAAGTACATACACTATCAATCAAAAGTATTTTTTAAGAAATTAATACTTTTATTAAACAAGGATGCATTACATTTAAATTTAAAAGTGATAGTTAAGAAATGCATAAATGTTACAAAAGATATATATTTAAAATAATTATTTTGAATCTTAAAAAATATCAGTTTACCAAAAAATATATTAAGCACCACAACTGTTTTCAGCATTGATAATTAGAAATCTTTCTTAAGCACCAAATCAGCATATTAGAATAGATTTCTGAAGGATCATGTGACAATGAAAACTGGAGTAATAGCTGGTGAAAGTTCAACTTTGCCATCACAGTAATTAATTACATTTTGAAATACATTAAAATAGAAAGCTGTTATTTTAAATGGTAACATTTCACAATATTACTTTTTATAATTAAATAAATACAGCCTAAGTGAGAATATGAGTTTTTTTCCAAACACATTAAAACAACCTTACCGACCCCAAACGTTTGAAAGCTAATGTATATGCGGTGGTCTTACTCACAGGGGTGGGGTGACCCTCCAGGTCAGAGTCGATCTTGCGCAGGTTTAGCAGCTCAGACTCTTTGATGAATCCAGCCTCTGCCCAGGCAGCATACAGAATGGGAGCAGCATGGCCCTGAAAACATTAACATGAGGGATGGAATACATTTAATCTCTAAGCACTGAGAAAACTAAAAATTGCAAAGAAGCTCAACACAGATTGAAAGCCCACCTTGGACAAGATGAAGCGGTCGTTGCTGGGGTTGCGAGGATCATCGGCTTTGTAGCGCATGGTGTGGAAGAACAGCACTGACATGAGCTCAGCAGCGCTGCAGCATGAGGTGGGGTGTCTGCGAGTAGAAAACACATCAGTATCATCAATCCAGCCATCAACCTTTAACCATCAGCTCAAACATGCTGGACGTTAAAGACCAATCTGACATGCAGGTTATCTTTCACTTCAAAACTAGAACACGATTGCAAATGGCACTAAAGGGCAAAAGTTGCTACTGTCATCATTGGGGTTTGAGGTGTAGTAACAGACCTTATCAGAATCAATGACTTCAGCTACTGCCAAACCAGGCACATCATATATAAGCCATTTAATGATCAGAAGGGCTGTAGCCTCTAATATTCTAATAAAGGGACAACAGTGCAATAGATTAAGGACTCAAACCATGACATCTATCTTGCTTTTTTTGAGGTACAAAGCTAATGTAACAGAACATCAACATACTCATTTACTCAAACTCATGTCACTCCAAACCTGTTTATTTTATAAGCTTTAAAAGCTTATCACAGAAATCACATGAAAAAGAGTGACCTGTACATTATTCTGAATTTCTCCTTTTGTGTTCCACAGAAGAAACAAAGTCATACAAATTTGAAACGACATGAGGGCAAGTAAGAGGACTGAAATGTTATTCTTTTAATGAGCGTGTGATTCACCGAACTTTGGAAGCCAGTATTCACCATGGAATTAAAAAAAAAAAAAGAAATCTCACAATTCTTTAAAAAATAAAGAAATCTCACAATTCTTACCTCGCAAATTTGATTATACCTCTCAATTCTGACTTTTCTCTATGCAATTCTTAGAAAAAAAAGTCAGAATTGACAGATATAAACTCATAATTGTGAGAAAGTCCCAAATATCTTTTTTTATTATTTCGTAGTGAAAACGGGCTTCCATACAAAACAGAGCTAATTAAAAAAACTGGTTACTATCAAAACGTTAAGCTGAAACACACTGTTAAAAACATACAAATGACTGAGCTTGAACTTGAATTGAGGGTGCAGTACAACTGTTAGTTTGTTTGTTCCCAAAGTGGTTTAAAGCAACATGATCTTTAAAGTCAGAGTCTGTAAAGCACTCATGCAATCGAGTAGTCACAAAACTATCTGTTGAAAAAACAACATGAACATTTTATTGTGGAAATACATGCAGTCTTATGTTATTGTTCAATACATTCCTAACATTCCACTAAACAAAACACCATTGATGAATTACCATCTTTGTCCTATACAGTGACTCATTTAGGCTGAAATAAAGAAAACGTAAAAGGTGTTAAGAAACAAATCTCTACTGATCAGTTTCAGAATGAAGGATAAGATTGTAAAAGGTACAGACAAAAGTCTGAGTCATGATCAATACTTCCTTGTTGCCTTGTTTAAACTTCTACATGTATACAAGTGATCATCCTTGAGAGGAGGGAAAAAGACTTTTGTATCAAACACGCTGACCCAAAAAGAAATGAGAAGGAACAGAAAAAGAGGAAGTGTCATCATAACCGTAAAACAAACAGTATCAGGTAAAAGTTTACACTCAGTGAAATTCCTCTACAATATTTTCAATGAATTAAAGATTGTTGCATGCCAGCAAGGGTGTGTGCAGATTATTGTAACAAATTAACCCTCTGATAAATGGTGTCCACTACAAAATATAATGAAGGCATCTAATAAAACAGCCTTTCTATCCTCTTCAAGTTTAGAAATTCCCCTCTTCGATTTTAGTTCATGTTGAGAAATTACCATCTGTGGCAATAGTGGTCACAAAAGAGAACCGCGCTCAGAGATTGAGCAATGCCAAAGCAAAGCTTTACTTTCACGGAAGCTTCATTTGAACTCTGCTTATTGCCACATACTTCTGATGTGATTTCCAGCAGACGATAACTTCATGGAGCCTAACAGCACTTTAACCCACAGCTCAACGGAAACCACAAGACCTACACGCCTCCACGTGACAACCTGTAGGTGAAGCGTGCAGCCGCGAGCTCGCAGGATAAATTAATTAGTGATGGGAAGTCCGAATCTTTTCCGCAGAACGGTTCTTTCGAAGTTTGTTTCAAAGAACCGGCTCAAAAAAGATCCTTTTGCGGCATCACGTCGTCTTGACCCGGCGTGGTACTACTACGTGCTCGATTTACGAAGTCTTTATGTAAACATATATTGCGGTTTATCATGTATAAATTTGTTTATTGTTTAGTACGTATAAAAGGGTGATTGTCCATGATTCAACAGTTTAAAAAGTCGCCTAGAATCTAAATATAATTTGCATTAAAAATAGTTAATTTACGTCTTGACTTTTTATAAACGCAACTCATTGTTATTACAAGTCAAGAGGCCAAACACATTTCCAGAACGTTTTATCTGTATGATTAGATTATCTTCTGTCAGCTAAATCGGTTCAGCGAGTCAGGAGTTGTTGCTTCTGAATCGGGTCTGTGAACAGGTTCAACAACTGCTCTGAAGAGATCCGACTCAAATGAACAACTCATTTAGGAAACGCCACAATCAATCAGTTGCAGCCATAGCCTGTATAAAAACAGGTTGCAGCCCAGCGAGTGGAATTTAAACGCGATGATTTAACGTTTATTAACATTGACACTTTATAATCCCACATAACCTCCTGTGCTAATGACAGGGGCGATGAGAGGCTAAGCCAATTTTCACTGGTCATCGCTTGGAGGCCACGATGGGCTAAAAAGCTCTCAAATATGTCGCGTAAGTAGTGCAAAGCTAATGACTCACTTATAATAGCTAAAAAGGTCGAATAATTCGAAACTAATTAGTAACATAAATGTGCCCGGCCCCCTCGCCAAGTTCACGTGCTATGCAGGAACAAGTGAACATTTGCACGACACATTAGATAAACGTAACGTTACACATACAGTTGCAAATCTGTCGTTCGCCATCATAGAAAGATGTTACGCATGAATTTCAATAAGTGCTGAAGATTTTACCCAGAGTTTGAGGCGCATGTTTCCTTGATGGAGTGAATCCTGAGCTTGTTAGCGATGTCTTTCAGGGCCTGCAGAGTTTTCTCGTCGGGTTTGTGATAGCTCATGTTTCAACTGTGTGCGATTAAATGAACGCGAGTGCTATAACTATAGAAAAATGAACCCTTCTGAAACTGCGTTAATCTGTAATTGCTAAGACAAACGCAGTAGCCGCCAGAGCCGAGCACGGTGTGGGACGCGGGTAACGTGCTGCGTTGTAGCTTTTAAGTGAGGCGTCACGTCAGCTGTCAACTCATCCGATAAAGCGAACCATTGGACGAAGCGCTTTTCGCAACAAGAGGAGAGGTTGCCAGATCAGGGCAGAGACCGCAGACAAACTAAACCTTGCATAAATAAGATTAGGGTGTGACAGAAGTGAGTTCGGTTTTTTACACTTGAGTAAAATCTTCAATGATGAAATGTTTGCGATTGTTGTAAAATCACCGAAGGAGCTGATTGAATCAATGATTCTTCGAGTCACGGTGACCGTCTTGAGGAAAGGAGTGCGGAAACTATTTAACCCTTTAAAGCCCATTGTATTGTATTTGATACACTAATTTCTAGGATCCCTAAATTACCACCAAAACTGAAAAACCTATTGTACATAATCTTCTTCATGCATCCTGCTTTCTGACTGATTGCCCATACCTTTTCTTACCAAGAATTTAACTATTCTAAATTCTTATTCTATAAATGGCTACCTCCAGGTTTTTGATGTTTTGATTTTTTTTTATAACGTAAACGTAAGGTTAACATATATATATATATATATTTATTTATTTATTTATTAATAATAATAATAAAAATCTGAATAATATTTCAAGATGAACATTCGCTGGACTGAAGCAACTTAGGTTTACTTGATTACTCACATATTTTATTTATTTATTTTTAGAACCATGTACCCAGTTTGATACATTTTAACACCTCTCAATCATCATTGTATTGCATTACATGTTTTCCCCCACAATCAAAACTACAGAGCTTTGATCATAAAATTAAGCTTATCATCTTACTGTTTCTGAATAAAACTTGTGTTTTTCCTCCTTGATTGTGAGCTCCATAGTCTCATTATAGGCCTTTCATACTATATGGGCCATAAAAGCCTAATGTACCAAAAATAATGCAAAACATAAAACATATGCAAACTTTTTTTTAGATCCTCTTTTATATTTTGTCTAAAGGTTCAATAAGTGGTTCCATTAAAAAAAAATCTGACTATTATTTCCTATGTCAGGCTTACAGTTTACAAAAGAAAAAGGCTCTGCCCCTTTAATATGGGGGTATGAACAAACCAGGAAGTGACATTTCTTGTTCTCTCTTGGTGGAATATCAACGTGTGTGACATTGCAGAAAAATAAAACACACACGAACAAAGGCTATTTAAGCTCCCAATTTCTATTCACATTCTTTCTTGTTTCCTTTTAACACATTGATTTCATTTTGTAAATTAGGTCGCAATGAGATGCATTTCCTTGTTTTCTTCATAGTAGGAATTAGATTACAGTGATATGTACCTTGTAATTATATCTAGTGGTAAGTGCTAGACAGTATCATTTTACCAACGGCTACAGCTATTAAGATCACATCAGGAACTATATTACATGAAATGAAACCAGAACTTTTTGTGATAGTAGACTTTATTGAATATACAATTATATTTACAAGTATATTCAATGTAGCACAGCCTATTCAGTTATCCTCTTGATCTTCAGCATATTCATCTTCAAATTCCTAAAAAAAATATATTACAATTGAAATACTGTCTGATAGACCTTTATTGACAACTAAATGAAAACAGTGAAGATAATTAATTAACCACAGAATATGGTTCCGCACCTTTTCCTGGGCCTCAGACTTCTCTCCAGCCGTGATGGGATCCTTGTCCAGTCGCTCCAGCTGAGAGAGATGTGAGATCACATACAGCCTGTAGTCGTCAGTCTTTGCTAAAGGGTTGTCCAAGAGCACAAGGGCCTTCAGTGTTTGCCCCACACTCACTAAAGTTCGCAAAGCCCTCATAGAAGATATAAGGTTCCCCCTTAAGGTAAGAAAAGGAGGGTTATCAGACAGCGGTAATATAACTCTATTTAGCGAGACACATTTGCTTCCTCTATTTCACAGAGACTGGGAAAATGCCAAACCTGGTGCTAATGCATTTCTGTTACCTGACATTAAGATACTGGAGACATTTCATGTTGGGACTGAGTCCATTCAGTGTTTCTAACTGGTTATCTCTGAGGTGAAGAGTGTTGAGACGCTCCAGCTTCTCCAAACCCTCCAATCGCTTTATGTTGTTCTGAGCCTAAATAGTTGGGTGAAAGTGCAAGATGGTAGTTGGAGATAATCAGTATCGTGTACTTTTATCTACAATAAACATAAATACAAGCAGTTATACCAGATACAAGTGGCGTAAATTGGGGAGGTAAATGCCATCTGTAGTTTCCAAACAATTTCCTCTTAGCTCGAGAGTCACCAAATTGGTCAGATTGTGATATTCCAAGCCCTGCATACTCTGGATACCATTACCTAAAATATATCATGAAATGTTGCTGTAGTGCAGATTACAATTAAATTTGAACAATGCCAGCTCATGATTTTTTTTGTATTCACATTAATGAATCACATATGATACATAAAGCTAAATACACCACTCTAGATTTGCTGAATGAAACCAGTGTGGTTGGTACTAGAGTACAAAAAGAGCTCACTGTCACTAGTACAATAATCTACTAAATGGACCTAACTAACCAGTGAGATTGAGGGTTTCCAGTGCTGGACCTCCAAGACCTTTAGCATCAAATAGGCGGTTGTTGGCAAAGCTGAGCCACTGTAGGCAAGTGAGCTGGCCAAACGGCTGACCCTCAAACCTCTGAAGCAGGTTGCTGTCTCCCTTCACCCACAGCAGCTGGGTGAGATCAGCCAATGTAGAGAAGTCTGATAAATGATTGGAGGAGATGTCCAAGTAGCGCAGATGGATGAAGGAGCTGAGCAAGGCCAAGTTTGTTAGACCCCTGGTTAAGACAGGTGCGGTGAAAACCAAGTTAAAATGGTTATGTACAAATTATACTTGAGATACAGTAAATGTGTATGATAGTATGTTGGAAATGATGGGAATAAGAAGAACGTCCTAGACAAGCTTACTTGCTTTTAAGGTCAAGTCGGACATAGGCATGAGACAGACCATTCCCTGTGCGACACAATAAGGACAAGCTTTTCGCCATCATGTCCTGGGTTAGTGGACAGGGCTTTAGCTGGTAATAAAGAAAATCATGCATCAATCTTAATTCTTTTTTTATGCTTATTTTGTATATATAATATAAAATAAAAATGCACAATAAAACGAAATCTTATTAACCTTACTTGATGACTGTTAACGTTATTAGTTGGCTCTTAATGTCTATATAAATTTGGGTTACCTGATCCTCTTGTTCTGAAATCTCCTTCTCTTTTCTTTCAAGATCATCTCTCTCTCCCGGTCCTTCTTCATCCTCTTTCTCCGCTTTCAAAAGCTCATCTTCATCAGAGTCTGACATTATTCTTCCGTCTTGGTTACCTTGTTAATAAAATTTTCACGGCTTAAAATAAATGATTCGACGTTTAAATGAATCAGTTCGTTCACAATCACATCATCAGCACGCTAGCTAACTTCAATCAATGAATTAACAAAGGATTTACTTCAGTTTGTAAACCTGAACATGGTTTCTGTGTCACTCACCTCGCGCTGCATCGTGTTTATGGCCGTTACCATAGTAACACCACGAGTCTCTGTACTACCCAGTGCCTCCATAGAAAATTTGTGGCATATGATTCATGTTTATGTGAATATGTATCCATTATTTACCCAAATTAAATGCCTATATTATAAATCTTTATCAAAACCTGAAATAAGGTGAGAAGCTAGAAGCAGTTTTTCTTGTGGCATACTTCAGTAGTTGTGTTTACATAACACTCATTTTCGGCAATCCGAAAAAAATTCCGATTCTGAAAGTCGTTTTATATAAAACCTAAACCTTGCAATCCGACTCACATTTTCGCTTACATGTGCATGCATTGCGAACAAAACCTCAGCCATGTTACAACCGTGAGTATAATTATCGTTTTTGTTTTGATGACACATTTAAAGGGGTCATATGATGCGATTTCAATTTTTCCTTTCTCTTTGGAGTGTTACAAGATGGACGATATGGAGCTGATCCGTGCTGGTCGCTGAGGAAATACTTCAACTTCGCGCTGTGGATCGCCGGATCGGCTTTCACCGTGGACGAAGCGGAGTCCAGCCCGGGGTCGTCACATGTGGTTGCCGCAGGCATCACGATATGGTAAGGGGCGTAACATTTCCGTCAGACGCTTGAGGAATTCGGCCAATCACAACGCACCGGATAGCTGGCCAATCAGAGCACACCTCGCTTTTTCAGACCGATGAGCTCTGTAAAAATCGACGCGTTTCAGAAAGGCGGAGCATAGAGGAGAAACAATAATGTTTACATAATAAAACAGTATGTGGAAAATAATGTGTTTTTTGAACCTTAAATCGCATAAACACATTTCATTACACCAAATACACAAAATAATGTTCTTTTTAGCAACATCATATGACCCCTTTAAAATGAAAGCTGACAAATATCTCAAAATCTTTTTTTTTTTTTTTAGCAAATGTTAGTAACTATTCAGTATCCCCACTGATCAGTTCTTAAGATGCAAGATAAGATGCAAATAAGACGTAAAAAAAAGAACATGCACGTTTGTTTAATACATGTTAAAAAAAAAAAAAAAAAGATAAAAACAGAGGCAATCAACACAGTTCAAAGTGACCAGTTAATAAAGTCCAAATAATTTATTTTTGCAACTCTCTCCAAATGAAAATTCTACCATAATAAATCGTAAAACAAAATAACCTACTTCAAAATAGCCATCATAAATAATGCATTAAGTAACAATACACACTAAAAGCTGTAACTGTGCAATGACAAGCTTCAGTAGATTAACATCCTCCAATGACGGTGAGAGGAAATGGATGCAAAAATCGAGTGAAAAACTGCATTCCACTGGAATCAAAACACCTTAATTGTTGTTGGAAAATTTGAATATGATTAGACATTGTTTTAGAAATTAGAAGTTCAGTATTGTACATAAAATACAACCTCAGAACTCTGTACCTAGAGAGGAGGATGCAGACACTTTAGCATGTAACTGCAATGTGATTTAAATAATCACATGTGTAAAACCGCATTAATGTAAACTCTGAGCAACTCAATCCAATGAACATGTTAGATATATTAGCAAATTCTGCTTTGGTTAGTCTCAGCTTCAAATTAGTGTTAGAACAAACCGAAAGGGTCTCAAAATATATTAGTGTCAGTGCAAAAAAGAAAACAAACATCTTCACAAAATATGTCTACAAATTCAAGTGTTTTGATATTCAACTTATTTGGTTTTAAATGCATCAAAAAATAAATAACACAAAAAAAAAACTACCCTTGAATGTTCCTGAGAATACTGTTGGTCGAACCATCTTCCTTCCTTGGTTTACGTGCGGATATAACAAAATAGATCTATGAAGCAGCTGCCAACGCTTATGACCATAATAACGTCTACATACACTATGGCATGTGCTGTTTATGATTGTTAGATCTTCAGGGGCAAAATCTGACCCTCGACTATGATGGTAATGTAGATATGGATCTATAGATTGCAACATCCTTCATTAAAGGGTGCCAATCTGTGATTGTAGCAGAGAACTTCAAACATGGTTCTTCCACATATATGCACATACCACAGGATTGTGTTTAAGCATAATTTGTGTTTCCCTGCATGACTTGAGCTTCATCTGGCTATCCCGTTTGGATGCTCCCCTCATAGTTCTCCATGCAGATCTGGATGCGTTGGGTGAAATATCCAGGCTCGGAAATGGCCTTCAGCAGGTCGTTCTGTACCAGACACAGATCATACAGCTCTGATGTGGAGGCTGTTCGAGTCTGCAAGCCCTCAGGGTCCAGAAACACCTGCAGAAACAGGTGAGCACAGGGGTAAGACACATGGGACGATCAAACTGGAGAAGTGAAAACATACATCTAATACCTTAGGGTGGACAATAGTGTCCTCATCGTTTTGTCGAATATTGTCATCAATGAAGATATGCTGAACTTTGGTGTCAAAAGGGTCAATCCAGAGTGGCTTTCCTCCTAAAATGGAGTATGTGTTCCGTGCCCACCTATTTAGGAAAAACAATAGCTTGATAATGAAAAGCAATACAATTACATTGTTTTCAGATCCATAACTGGCTCCTCACCAGTCAAAGTGGTCTTGGAAGCCACCCAGACCCTCAGCAGTGCTCAGGTACTGGTAAACATGCTGCTCTCCATCCCTTGTGGACACGTGTTCTTCTCCACGAATCAGTGTTGCACCTTTACCGCTGCACCTGATGCGCCCGGCGGTCATGTTCACCCTCAGCTGTGAGAGGAGAAAGTCTTAATGAGGCATGGTTTATCTGGGACAACACAAAACCTACTTTTCCATATCAAATACCTTTAGAGCTGGGAGGTCAGGGAAGAGTGGATGTGAGCCCTGCTCTACAGCACGCTTGACAGCATTCAGAACACGGGGCAGATCTGAGCCAAATGTACGGAACAGGATGGAGAACTCCACACCTTGTGAAGCCAAGTCCTGCAGCATCTGGAAGAAGGAAGGGAGGATCCAGTGATACAGCTTCCCATCTTCTGCCTTAACAGACAGCTCTTTATCTGCAGGTATGTCCGACGGCCATCGGAGTAGCTCTAGATGTTCCTCCAGGACCTTCCGGAACCGTCGGCCTGGACCTACGGTGGTAAAGCCTGCCACTCGGCCAAACTGTGTGTAGTATGTGATGGCGCCCTCACAAGGCTGGAGGAGAGATGGTGCTTCTGACAACCACTCCCATTTACCTGTGAACAGTGAGAAGAAGCATGTGACGTGATGCTGAGCAAAGGCGTTTGAGTCATGATGCAAAACAGCCACTGCATGTACTACAGTATTAAAGTATTAGTTCACTTCCAGAATAAAAATGTCCTGATAATTTATTTATTCAAAGCCCTCAGGGTCCAGAAACACCTGCAGAAACAGGTGAGCACAGGGGTAAGACACATGGGACGATCAAACTGGAGAAGTGAAAACATACATCTAATACCTTAGGGTGGACAATAGTGTCCTCATCGTTTTGTCGAATATTGTCATCAATGAAGATATGCTGAACTTTGGTGTCAAAAGGGTCAATCCAGAGTGGCTTTCCTCCTAAAATGGAGTATGTGTTCCGTGCCCACCTATTTAGGAAAAACAATAGCTTGATAATGAAAAGCAATACAATTACATTGTTTTCAGATCCATAACTGGCTCCTCACCAGTCAAAGTGGTCTTGGAAGCCACCCAGACCCTCAGCAGTGCTCAGGTACTGGTAAACATGCTGCTCTCCATCCCTTGTGGACACGTGTTCTTCTCCACGAATCAGTGTTGCACCTTTACCGCTGCACCTGATGCGCCCGGCGGTCATGTTCACCCTCAGCTGTGAGAGGAGAAAGTCTTAATGAGGCATGGTTTATCTGGGACAACACAAAACCTACTTTTCCATATCAAATACCTTTAGAGCTGGGAGGTCAGGGAAGAGTGGATGTGAGCCCTGCTCTACAGCACGCTTGACAGCATTCAGAACACGGGGCAGATCTGAGCCAAATGTACGGAACAGGATGGAGAACTCCACACCTTGTGAAGCCAAGTCCTGCAGCATCTGGAAGAAGGAAGGGAGGATCCAGTGATACAGCTTCCCATCTTCTGCCTTAACAGACAGCTCTTTATCTGCAGGTATGTCCGACGGCCATCGGAGTAGCTCTAGATGTTCCTCCAGGACCTTCCGGAACCGTCGGCCTGGACCTACGGTGGTAAAGCCTGCCACTCGGCCAAACTGTGTGTAGTATGTGATGGCGCCCTCACAAGGCTGGAGGAGAGATGGTGCTTCTGACAACCACTCCCATTTACCTGTGAACAGTGAGAAGAAGCATGTGACGTGATGCTGAGCAAAGGCATTTGAGTCATGATGCAAAACAGCCACTGCATGTACTACAGTATTAAAGTATTAGTTCACTTCCAGAATAAAAATGTCCTGATAATTTATTTATTCACCCCCATGTCATCCAAGATGCTCATGTCTTTCTGTCTTCAGTTGCAAAGAAATTAAGGTTTTTGAGGAAAACATTCCAGGATTTTTCTCCATATAATGGACTTCAATGGTGGCCAACGGGATGAAGGTCCAAATTGCAGTTTCAGTGCAGCTTCAAAGGGCTCTACACGATCCCAGCCGAGGAATAAGGATCTTATCTAGCGAATCAAACGGTAATTTTCTTAAAATAATAAAAATATGTCGATGCTCGTCTTGCACTAGCATCGACTTCACGCATTACATAATCACGTTGGAAAGGTCACGTGTGACGTAGGTGGAAGTACCGACCCAGTGTTTACAAAGCGAACGTGCAATAAAAGTCAAACGCCCTTGCGTGATGTAGGTGGAAGTACCGACCCAGTGTTTACAAAGCGAACGTGCAAAGAAAGTCAAATGCCCTTTACAAAAAAAGGTAAAATAACAATGTCGGATGATTGTGAAGTTGGAGGAAAAAATGAGACAGAGTTTTTCGCCCTACCCTACCTTTTTGAACTGGAGTACACAGACGAAGTGCTTACCGCATGTGACATTTCCAACGTGATTACGTAATGCGTGAAGTCGTGGACGTGCATTGTGAAGCTAGTGCAAGATGAGCATTTGTGGTTAAAAAGTATA